CTCCGTGGGCGCCGGCGTCGGCGTCGGCACCGCCGGCGTGGGCGACGGGGTCGCGGGCGCCTCCGTGGGCGTCGGCGTCGGCGGCTCCAGCGTGGGCGACGGCGTCGTGGGCGCCTCCGTGGGCGCCGGCGTCGGCACCGCAGGCGTGGGCGACGGCGTCGCGGGCGCCTCCGTGGGCGTCGGCGTCGGCGGCGCCAGCGTGGGCGACGGCGTCGTGGGCGCCTCCGTGGGCGCCGGCGTCGGCACCGCAGGCGTGGGCGACGGCGTCACGCTGGGCGCGGAGCCCAGCGCCTGCCTCACCGGCTCGGACCAGCCAACGTCGTCGGAGGCGGCCCACAGGAAGGCCCCGCCGTGCCCGGGGAACGCCGCGGCGACGTCCTGGAGGATGGCGGCGGCCTGGCTGCCGTCCACGTTGCTGCCGGTCCCAGAGCAGTCGGCGATGCAGAAGCCAAACACAACCTTGCTGGCGTCGCCGCCGAAGATATCGTCCACGAGGTGCCCCATGTGCTCTATGGCGGGCTGGGTGTCGATCGCCGGCCTGAGCGGGCCGTTGTAATACTGAGGCAAGAGGTAGTCGACGCTGGAGGCGACCTCCTGGAGGACGCTGAAGTACGGTGCCCCAGCAACGATATCCCCATCCATGGGCGCATGGGAAATGATCTTCCCGGCGGGCAGCGCGGCGCGGAGCCCCGTGGTCAAGTCCTTCAGGAACTGGCTGGACGTGTCCGTGTGGTCGTACTCGTAGTCGATCCGCCACCGTGCCATCGGCACGCTGAGGCGCGTCAAGAGCATGCTCACTGTCTCGGGTTCCCACAAACCCACGACGGCCCAAGAGGCGCGCAAGATCGCCCCAGGACGGCCCAAATGGCACCCAAGAGGGCCCCAAGGGGGTCTCGCACTGGCTCCAGGAGCTTTCCCTCCGACGTGGCCCCCCGGACCCGCAACGTACCCCAAAGGGGCCCCCCGAGGTCCGCAAGAAGATCCAGAACGCCTCCAAGAGCGCGCCCAGGGGGCCCCCATGAACCTAAAATAACATAGTCTGCAGGCTTTCAACAAACTCGCCGTTTCGGGTTCCAGGTAATCCAAGGCAGCCCAAGAGGGAGAACTGGCACTGACCTTTGGGGCCTTTCCGTTTCAGATGGCCCCCCAGACCCCCAACGTGCCCCCGCGAGGCTGAACCCTCTGAGGGGCCCCAAAGAGGCCCTCGAGGCGGCCCTGGAGAAGAAGACGCATCCACGACGCGTTCAGGAAAGAAGAGAGGGGGAGAGGGAAGGATGATGACGATGATGATGATGATGATGATGATGATGATGATGATGATGATGATGATGATGATGGTGATGGTGATGGTGATGGTGATGGTGATGGTGATGATGATGATGGTGGTGCTGATGATGATGATGCTGGTGATGATGATGACGACGATGATGATAATGATGATGATGACGATGATGGTGATGATGATGCTGCTGATGATGCTGGTGATGATGATGACGATGATGATGATGATGGTGATGCTGACGATGATGACGACGATGACGACGATGCTGATGATGATGACGACGAGGGTGTTGATGAGAATGGCGATGATGATGGTGATGGTGATGATGGTGATGATGATGATGATGATGATGATGAAGATGAAAATGATGATGATGATGAATCTTATTATGATGATGCTGATGATGGTGATGGTGACAGTGATTGTGATAGTGATGATGATGAGGTGAAGGAGGATGAGGAGAACGAGGGTGAGGAGGAGGAGGAGCAGGAGGAGGAGCAGGAAGAGGAGGACCAGTGTAAACCCAATAGTCATCAACGATGTTGGAGCAAACCCTCCCTCCAAACTCCCTCTTCATAGGCTCCTACAACGGTTCATCTCCACTGAGGGAACTGCCTCGTCGGAACACAACCGCTGGAAGATCCTGAAGCATGCCAAAACATTGTTCTCGGGATTCCACCGCCACGGATCAACCTGACTGTTGCATCTTGACGAGCCTGAAGCGTGCCAGAATAACATTCCTGGGACTTCAACGCCGAGAATCAACGTGACTGGTGCACCCGCAGAGTCCCAAATCTTTCCAAAACACCATTTCTGGGAAAATGATCCTGGGAATCCGTGAAACTCTTGCAACTTATATAAAGGAATGTGCGGGGAGCTAGGGCGAGAGCCACATTTTGGAAATGAACCTCCCTTATTCCGTGAAACTCTTGCTGCACATGTTTAAAACGAATGCACGCGGCGATTAGGCCAGAGCCACATTTTGAAAAGAGGCCCGCCCTCAATCCGTGAAACTCTTGTAATGCTATAAACGAATGTGCGCGGCGCTACGGCGAGAACGGCATTTTGAAAACCACTCGCTCTCAACCCGTGAAACTCTTGCCAATGTTTCAACGAACATGCGCGGCGCTAAGGCGAGAGCCACATTATGAAAACCACTCGCCCTCAATCCGTGAACCTCTTGCCAATGTTATAAGCGAATGTGCCCGGCGCTAAGGCGAGAGCCACATTATGAAAATCACTCGCCCTCAATCCCTGAAACTCTTGCGCAAATTGTATAAACGAATGTGCCCGGCGCTGAGGCGAGAGCCACAGTTCGGTAACGACCCGCCCTCCATCTGTGAAACGTTTGCCAATGCTTAAGCTTCAGGATCAGAAATGGCGAGGAAGTCTCAGGCGGAACGCTGGGCCCGCCCTAAAAACTTGCCTCGGGTGCGACAGAGAGATGTTATTTATAAGGGAAGGAATGGAGGAGGAGGATGAGGAGGAGGAGGAAGGGCGGAGGAGGAGAAGAGATGAGGAGGAGAGAGGAGGAGTAGAGAGGAGGAGTGAGGATGGACAACATATGGGTTTTCAGTTCAGCGCTCTGTTTGACCTGGAGCGGGTCTCGAACTCAACCTTTTTCTGGCCGCGCCGTTGCGCTGGCGCGGTGGCGGGGTGTGCCACAGGCAGCCGCATATCCACGCCGTCGAAGCCCTGGCTGTCGATGATCTCCACCAAGCGGCTCACCACGCTGTCCACCCTCCCGAAGCAGTGTTCCCAACAGTCGTTCACGTCGCCGGCCCAGCTCCCGCCCATGCCCGCGCCGCCGAAGGAGAGCAAGACCTTGGTGCCCGCCTGCCGCCACGTCTCGATCAGGTCGGGCTTGGCCTGGTTGTCGCACGTGGCGGGCACCCCGATGGTACAGCTCTGGTCGCACTGATTCTTCGTGGGGTTCCACGTGTAGCTGACCGCGAAAGAGACGATAACCTTGTCGTAGCCCCGAATCTTGTCCAGGCTCGGGCACGGCAGCCAGTTCTCCACGAACGCCACCAGCTGCTTGCTCCCCTCGGGCTCCGGCGCGGGCTCCGGCTCCGGAGTTTCTGGAGGCTCCGTGGGCGACGTCGGCTCCGTGGGCGATGGCGCGGGCGTTGGGCCCGCGGACGCCCCGCCACCCTCCACCAGCCGGACGTCCGCGCAGTTCTTGAACTGCTCGCCGCAGAGCACGGGGCCGCCCTGCTCCACTGGGCATTCGCCCTGGTAGGAGCACACCACGCCATCGCACCACGCGCGTGCGTCCCACCCCTGCCGCTCCATTTCCTGGAAGTAGCACCTGTAGGCGTCCGGGTGCGGCGTGCAACTGTTCGCGCTCATCCACCACCACTGCAGAGTGCAGCTCTCGCATGTGAGGTCGGCGGGGATCCGGTAGTGGAAGCGGTGCTGCGTGCGGGCGAGGTGTGACCCGTTATGGGGTGGGAGGTACCAGTGCCCAGGGTTAGCCTCGTCGTAGGGCTGACAATCACCTCGTGGGTCGTCTGGCTGGCAATCCGCGTGGACCTCCTCTGGCCTGGCCCGGCTCAGGACGTGCTCATTCAAGCATTCCTCCTGCGCCTGGTAATCACCGGTCAGGCTGTCCAGGCGCTGGTCGCAGAGCCGGAAAACGAAGTGCCCCTTGTGGTGGGCGGTGACAGTGATCACGAACTCGGCCAGCTCCCCCGCCCGCAGCTCGGTCACCGGGCCGACCGCGTCCAGGAAGTGGGCGTTCCCGCAGGTCGCCATTGGAAGGTCGGTGGACCCCAAGCACTGCGGGCAGTAGCCGTTCCCCACGTTGTTGTAGGCCCCGCCGCGCATCTCGGGCTTCGTCAGGAACGCGTGGCCGCTCGCAAGGGCGGGCAGCAGACCCAGGGCCAGGACGAGGGCGGAGCTGCCCATGGCGGGGAGGCTTGGGGCCGCCAGAGGGGGACGTTCGAGATTCGGCCCTGCGTCGAGCGGCTCGTGCGCGAAGTGGCTGCGGCCATGCGCGCCTCGGCTGCCCCTCCCCCGCGTCGCCCCCCGCGCCCTCCACCCTGGTCCCCCTCCCCCGAGATGGCTACGATGGGCGACGGCTTTGAACATCGGCCCCAGGGGGGCCGTTTCGGGCCGCGGGGCCCTCGTGAATGGACTTGAAGCGCAAGATCCTGCCGACAGATGAAGTCGAGAGCTCGGACAGAACCTCTTCTGCTGGCGCACGCGAGGGGGACGAGGCCTCCAAAATGGCTCCCTGTCTGCCCAAGATGCCCCCAGAACGGCCCCAATACAGTGCCCATACGGCCCAAGAGACCTCCAAAGCAGCACCTGAGATGACCTCCAAAACGGCTCTGAAGCGACCCGATGAGGGCCCAAGTCGGCCCAGAGAGGCCCCCAAGACGGCTTCCGACGGCGTCAGACGGGCCAGCAACGCCAAAGACGAGCGGAAATTGCACAACGCCCACCCTCGAGAGGCCCAAAGAGGCCACGAAGAGACCTTCAAGAGGCCCCAAGAAAGCTCCAAAAGCTCCAAAGAGGCCTCCTCCTCCTCCTCCTCCTCCTCCTCCTCCTCCTCCTCCTCCTCCTCCTCCTCCTCCTCCTCCTCCGTTCCTCCCTCTCGCCCTCTTCCTCTTCCTCTCCAGAGTGTTCCCCGAAGGGTTCCCACAACGGCTGGGGGAACACACAGTCCGACAGCGTGGCCGAGCTCTGGCCACAACGTTCGGCCGCATGGGCG